TGTATCACGCAATGGGAGAAATATTCGGAATGATCGGCGATCATGATTCACAATTGCAGGGTGTCAGCAGTTATGATCCAAATCACATGATTCGTAACTCATGTACAAGATAAAGAGAAAGAGCTTGTTAAATGATTGAGTGCTTTGCTCATCGAATTTCAGAAGCAATTTGTTTAAGAGATTTTTTTGTTTGTTTTTGTTTGGAGATGAGTACTAAAAAGGAGGAGTGACAATGGCCACGTGTTCAAAATTCTGAAATACGGTCATACATAATCTTTTAGTCAAAAATTACTTTGCACATTCAATGAACGATAATTTGAATGCTTGTATGAAACGAGTTTTGAAATGACCAGGAAAGTTTTTCCCTCTGAAAACATATTCACCAATTTTATAAGCCTCTTAATTTACTTAAACCTTATTTTGGCCTTAATTAAACAGAGCTTTAGCATGTCACATTAACCACAACTAAATAACTAATATTTTGCTCCATAACTTACACACGATCTTTCTTAGCAATGCCAAAGGCTTCTACCAAACATTTCTAATGTGAATGGCAAAAGTCCAGTGGATTCAAATTTGGAAAATAAGGTGATGATCCTTTTTCTCCCATCAGAATGTCAAAAAACTGTGCTAAACAACATTCTAGAGAGCCTCTAGCTCTGCGTGTAGGTGCAGATAAAGCTCGAAGATCTATTTTTGTTTCCAACAAGAGCTTTTTTTACCAAAGAAGAAATATTATACGTGACGAAAGAGCCGTGATGGCTCAGGGGATTGAGCGTTCACTTTCGAACGCTCTGGAAAGGAACGTTCTGGGAAGTGAACATCATTCGAATCCCAGGTCGATACAAATTCCGCATCTGCCTTGCACCTGCCACAGTGCTGACGTAAAATATCCTCAGTGGTAGACGAATCATGGGTTAGAGTTCCTTTGCCGTCAGGCTATTCGTGGGGGGTTTTCATAGTTTTTCACTCCATGTAACGCAAATGCGGGTTATTTCCATCAAAAAAAGTCCTCCATGAAGCCAAATTCCTCTCAATTCTTGAATCAGGAGTTCCTATGTCTTCTGGATTGCGTTCAAAATTACAAGGTCATGGCGTTGAACATTAGTAGACCTTAACTGATAATTCGGTCTGCTGTTCAAATAAAAGTTACAAAATATAATAAAATATATTGCGAAAGAAATATTTAGTTTAAATTATTCGTTAAGCTATTTCTTACTACTCTGTTGATATACTTTTAAATTCTGACAGTAGCAAAACTTATAAGCATTTAAATTCTGAAAGCCATCAAAAGAAGCTCAGGATCTTTTTTCTAATAATTTGATAAAAACTCTGGTCACTCACGTGGATTAGATATTTTTCAATGCTCAGACATCTTTCTATTTAAATATAAATAGTCTAATGATTAGTTTTTCCCCAAAATTTTTAGATATTTACAGAGTATTTGGTAATAATCACCTATAATATACAATAGCCCTTTAAAGTCTTAGGTAAAACTAAATATAGTATGTTTTTGGTTTAAAATGTAGTAAAATAATGTATAATTCTATTTATAAACTTCCTTAGTATGTTTATCAAGAAGAAACAAAGTAAGCGCTTTAAAAAACACTTTAAATCAAATACAATTTTCATATCAGTCCGGTATTAAATGAATGGTATTCAACAATTATTATTTCGCTTTCAGCGGTTTTTGTAAATTACAGTAGTATTGAATGAATTTCTTTATTTATAATTATAATATTTACTTAAAATACAATTTTAACTAATCAGTATCAGTTTTGAATATATTTAATTACTGAATCTCAATCTTTATTTTATACGCGTACCCTAAACTTAATAATAAAAATTTTTTGCAGAATTTTTGCATGACTAAAATACGAAAAAAAAGAAAGGAATATTTAATTGAGCTGTGTGCAAACATTTTTATCCAAAGCTGGTTGCATTTACGATTAAATAGCAAGAAGATTAAAAATTCCAATATCAAGTGAATTATCCTTATTGGCTCGATTAAAAACAATGGGAAAAAACTCTACAAAAAAAGCACGGGAAGGAAAAAAAGCCTCCCATAGGTTAACCAAAACCTTTTGCGTGTTAACGTATATTTTCAGAACACTTGTATAATAGAAATCAATTAAGAAAACACATTAGGTGTCTTAAATGTACATTTAAACTAAGAAGAGTCAGAAATGCTATAGAAATCAGACAAATCATTAGAGAGGAAGGTGAGATAGTGAAACATTGATACCTTTCTGATTGCTGATGAAACTTGGAAATTGCAATTCGATAACCGCACAATAAACTAAAGAATTTCATTGCATGCATGCAAATTGTGGTAATTTTCACCAAAAACGCTCGACTGAAGAATTTGATAGTGTGGCTTATCATTATCCATATTAAAGATGGGGATTAAAAACATCAGATACACAATATTTTGTTCTTGTTCACAACCATACATAATTAGAGGAATCTATTTGTAGTATTCTGTTTTATATTCTGGTAATTGGTTTTCTCCGCTATTTTTTTTTTTATAAAGGGGAAGTATAAGTTAAGTATTGGAGTTATCTTTGAAAACAAATTGAAATGTTTCTACTTTATACTTTGGTAGTTGAATTTGCTATTTTTCTATAAAGGGAGATAGAGGGAATTCGTGTTATTTTTCTATAAGTTAAGAACTGGGGTTTTCTTTAAAAACAAATTGAATTATTTCTATTTTATATTCTGGTAACAGATTTTCCCTGTTATTTTTCTATAAAGCGAAGTATTGGGGCTCTCTTTGAAAACAAATTGAAGTATTTCTTATATTCTGGTAGTTGATTTCCCTGTTATTTTTCGATAAAGTTAAGTATTGGGGTTCTCTTTGAAAACAAATTGAAATATTTCTGTTTTATATTCCGGCAGTTGATTTTTCATGTTTTCATGTTATTTTTCTATAAAGAAGAGTATTAGTTAAGCATTTCAATCCCCTTTGAAAACAAATTAAAATATTTTAACATTTAAAATCAAAGGATTATCTAAAACATAACTTTTACCCATCAATGCAACGTACTTTCTAACATATGAATATTTTAGTAAGTACAAAATTTCAATATCTAAAACCTCTAATTGCGCCCTACTCCAGTACACTTAAATTCTTAATTATTCATTAAAATATGCTTATGAGTTACAACTCAAGTTACAACTTGAACAGAGAGTTTCAAAATATTCTCTATCATACGGCCAGACATATTAAACTAAATTGTAATCCGTGTGTAAGAAGTTCGATCCGCTACAGTCCTGGTAACTTTTATGGCCTCCATATTTCAAAAGCACCGTCTAAGTTTAGGCGTAAAGAATAAATCTACTTGTACATCTCGCTTGCTTTATGAAACGCTTTTCATTTAATGAACTTTATAAAGCTCTCTTTATTTCGCATTAAAAACATAAATTCTGAATAAGAGTATACGATGTTATAGAATGTATTGTCAAGCAAGCGAAATTGCGGCTAAGCAATAAAATCTTTGTAAAAATTGGAAGTGATTTTTCAATGTTAGTACAAAATGTTAATTTAAAAAGAAAAATTATAGCTATTCATTTTATTAATTGTGGCTAATAATTCGAAATTGAGAGATCTATAATGAAAATTTATTAACATAATTTAACTTATACTTTTTATTGATATACTTTTTATTGATATACTTTTTATTGATTTAAATTTTTCATACTCTTATACTTTTTATTGATATACTTTTTATTGATTTAAATTTTTCATACTCTTATACTTTTTATTGATGTACTTTTTTATTGATGTACTTTATATTGATATACTTTTTAATTGATATACCTTATTATTTGATATACTTTTTATTGATATACTTTTTATTGATATACTTTTATTGATATACCTTTTTATTTGATATACTTTTTATTGATATACTTTTAATTGATTTAAATTATTCATACTCTTATACTTTTTACTGATGTACTTTATAATATACTTTTTTATTGATATACCTTTTTATTTGATATACTTTTTATTGATATACTTTTTATTGATATACTTTTTATTTGCTGCAGCTTATATTCTTGTGCTAATAAATATTTTTTTTATTAAGACGGCGAATTTGCAAGTCATAAGGGAACTAATGAAATACAATTTAGAAATAATGATTTAAAGCATAGAAATGTTCATGCATTAATAAATATTATACTCAAAATTCACAATAACCTGTAGGACTAATTTGTTTACATCAGAGCATTTTTTTCACGTTGATTTACATTTTGTCTTCAGAGAAAACGGTGTTGAGTTAAATAACATCCTTGAAAAAGCAATCCTTTTAATAACAGACTCCTAATTCTTTTTTTTTTTTGTCATAACAAGTAATAAATTTTATTATCTATTGATAATATAAACATGATTAGAGTTGATAAAAATAAATTTCCTATTCCTTCAATGTTTTAGATATTTAAGCTTAATAAATTTCTTTTCCTTAATTAACGAGAAGACCGTAACAGCTACTTTTAAGTAACATGTTTCGGCTAAATTTGTAAAAAGGAACATCTAGCGCATATATCTGTTCCAGAATAGCATATTGTGTCCGTGGTATATTTTATCAATTTTTGTTCTTTCTCTTGAACTGACGTTGAAGTACCTAATATGTAACATGGAAAAAAGTTGTTTATCCATGTTTTTATTTATTGAAATATCTCAGGTAGACACAGTTATTAACAAGTAATGCAGAAAATCTTCGAAAGCCCATAATATATGAGATGAAGAAATTAGTTTGTTTTTTATTATTTTTAAACATATAAAAATATATAAAAAAATATATAAAATTTTAATATATAAAAAATAGTACAAGTATGAAATTAGAAAAATAAGAACTTTCACCAAATACTTTTTAACAGTTCTTTGAAAGTAACGAGTAACTTACGGAACAGGTGCAGTTGTAAGCAAATGATATAAAATACCTGTAACAAAATATTTTTTTAGTCAACTCTAATCAATTTTCTTTTCCTTTCAGATGTGAGAAGGGTTGGTTGTGATGTTGGGAGGTGCGGCTGATTTGTTCATTTCGGAGAGAGACCCATACCATCAGCTAGATACAGAAGCCAGTTTCGAGCAAGTGGTCGAGGCTGTTGTCATTTTCGTCATCTGCTTTGCCATAGTCGTGACTAACGTCCTCATCATATGGGCAGTAGCATCATCTCCTAGTCCCAAAGAAGCCATAGATTTTTATGTGCTTTCCGTTGCTGTTGCAGACTTATTATGTGGAGTATTCATTGTGCCCCTTTCAATTTACCCTGCACTTGTTAAAGAATGGGTTTGTATAATATGCATCTATATCTTAATGAAAATACAAAGTGGTTTATAAAATGAGTGGAAATTCCAGATGTTCCATTATGATATTAATTTCTATTAGTTCACTTTAACTATTAATCAAAGATCCCATTCTTATTTCTTAATCTTACAATTAGATTAAGAAATAAGAATGGGTTAATAATTAAGAAATAAGAATGGGTCTTATGTGCTTTCTGTTGATGTTTAAGACTTATTATGAGGAGTATTTATTGTGTCCCTTTCAATTTACCCTGCACTTGTTAAAGAATGGGTTTGTATAATATGCATCTATATCTTAATGAAAATACAAAGTGGTTTATAAAATGAGTGGAAATTCCAGATGTTCCATTATGATATTAATTTCTATTAGTTCATTTTAACTATTAATCAAAGATTCCATTCTTATTTCTTAATCTTACAATCTTTCATCATGTAAATAAAATAAGTCTTGAAAATTGAACACTACATTGGCTTCAGTTAATAATTAAGTTACAGGAGTCCACTCTGTGAATAGTTTTTGTATGTGATTTTTATTTAAGTTTTTACTTCGTCGTTTTATTAAACCACTTTGTTAAGTCATTTTGTTACGTACAATACGAAAATGAATATATTTTACAATTAACATTATCATGATTCTAATGAATGATGATTCTTTTGAATGATAATGTGTCTATCATTATGTTGTATTAAAATAAAAGATGTTTTTTTTTTCGATAAAATATAAACATTGTCATTTGTAGAACCGGGTAAGTCATATTAAACTAGCTACTGTAAGTCTATTTTAAACCCCAAATTTTAAATTAGAATATGGATTACTTCTTATTCTTTCTGATGGTAGTATTTCACTCTAATGTTTCTTATTAATGATAATGTGTGTGTGCCTCTCTTTACGTTGTATTAAAGTAAAAGATGTTTTTTTTGGACAAAATATAAACATTTTAAGATGTAGAGCCGGGTAAGTCATATTAAACTAATTACTATTGTTTATTTTTAAGCCGAAGTTTTAAATTAGGATACGGATTACTTCTTACTATTTTTGCTGGTAATATTTCACTCTAAGGTTTCTTTTTAATGATAATGTGTTTTCATTATGTTGTATTAAAATAAAGGATGCTTTTTTTCTTCCTTTTGACAAAATATAAACATTTTAACATGCACACATTGCTCACATTATCTCCTTTTAATCCTAAGTTTTAAATTAAGTTAGGATTACTTCTTGTAAAGAACTGGCACTATTGGAGAGGGTGTCATTCACAGTTCTGCGACATGTTGCTCACATTGCATCCATAGTTTAAGCCAGGCAACGATTTTTGTTTCATTACTTCTTGTTTAACGGGACTATCTATAACTCACGCTATAATTGTCTCTACTTAATTAAATAATAAATATCTGATTTCTAAAGTTCATTTTTTCTTTTTCCAGGTATATGGTGATTTAGTATGCCGCTTAACGGGTTTTTTAGGACTAACGCTGTGGTCAGTGTGTCTTTATACATTTATGTGGATATCAGTTGACAGGTACCTTGCAATAAGGAAACCACTGCGTTACGATGTCATACAGACCAGGACCAGATGCCAGTGTTGGATGGTATTCACATGGCTCACGTCGTTATTTCTCTGCAGCCCTCCGCTCCTGGGATTTTCAAAAGGACGCTTCTATGGGGATGGTTACATATGCATGCTGGACCTTGGTAACATGATTCCTTACAGCATTACTCTCGCTGTCCTTGTTCTAGCTCCAAGTATACTTACCATCTCTTATACTTATTTCTATATCTTGAGCACCATGTACAGATTGAGAAAGTGCTTGACCAAAGAGGAACGTGATTATGCGACTGCGGTGAGTGAAAACTTGTCCAACCCTGACCACCTTATGTCCTTCGTTCTGATATTACTGTTCTGGATCACGTGGATGCCATGGTTCATTTTTCGCATAGTTGAGATTGTCCTTTCAACTACAGATGAATACCATGCCTTGCATTTCTGGCTTCTGTGGCTAGGTATCACAGACTGCATCTGGAAGTTTTTCGTATACATTACCATGAGCCCGAAATTCAGGCTCTGTCTCAAACGATTATGTCTCTCCATGTGTTGTCGCGCTCCCACCAGGCAGCCGCTAATTGTTTAAAAATTGTGTTATCTTATTTTAATTACTTGATTTTGGTCGAAACAAAGTTTAAGAAACTGTTAATTTGAAAAAGAAAGTCAAGGATTTTAAAATTTGTTGACAAGTTTTGTGAAAACCTATCTCACAACTTTATTTTTTTTTAAAAAGAAATATTCACGGAGAAAACAATTATGGTAAAATTACTGTAGTGTATGATAATAACAAATCTAATGTGTGAAAAAATCTGTTATCTCTAGAGAAAAAAAAATCGATTTCGTAAAAACAAAAATATACGGTACTTAAACAGTTCATTTCGTCATATTGTAACAATTTACCGGAAATTCTGGTTCTTAAAATTATAACTCTTATTACCACACATTTAGTAAAAACAATACAAAAATGAAAAGTGAATTTGGCCTTATAATTGGTTTTTATGTTATGTTCTAACACTAATCATGATAAAATTACCAAACTTTACCACATTTATTAAATTAGAACGCATACTATAATTAATACGCTATTTTATTGCTAATTTTACTAAAATCACTACCAAAGAGATTTGAGAAAAAATTACCGAACGTTTTGGTTTCCCTTATAGTCATATAATTTTATAACATTCTGGTAGCTTTTACCATACTTTTTTTCTCTTTGATGATTGTCCAAAGAAAGACATTTACTGCTAACATTTTGCTGGGTTTTTTTGTACATAGCTCTTATGCATACAATTAGTTTGAAATTTACATTATTGTATTAAGTAATACATAAAATTTGAAACAAAAAACAAACATAATTTCTGACCGAGGAATACTTGTCAACATTTAAATGCAATTAATAAGATTAAAATGATTTGCTAAATAAATTTATCTGTTTCATAAATAAAATCAATTTTAATGAATTCATTTGCTGCCATACATGTTCTACAGCACTTTGTTTCGACCAGAAATTATTTAACTAAACCGAGTATTTCTCTTTACACCGTAAATTAACTCTTACCACCTTCTGCAGTAATTATACATTACAGCATCATAACAAACGAGTAGTGTACTTAAAAGTTTAGCTTTCTATTCGCATTTAACTTAAAATATAACAAATAAAATCGCTGTAAACAAAAAATTATAGTTTACTATTAGTTCTCAAGCACAAATCTGGAAAACAAAGACATCTGTTCAAATTTTAAATGCAATTAGATTATTTTCTCCTGTTTCATAATATTTTAATCCAATCTGATCATAAAAAGATCTTATTTAATTTAATTTTTAAAGTTATTAAGTTTTTATTTAATTTTATGAAAATAAATTTACAAAAACAAATCGAAATTAAAATAATTTAAAATATTTTTTGTTGTGACACACCGTGTTCTTATTTTTCAAGTGAATAATCCTAGTGAAAACACAGAATAAGTCATGTTTAACAATAAGTCATGTTCTAAATAACGACAACCCATCCATGTTAAACAGATCGTTTTTACTTTTTAAAAAAAAAATGTGGAAAAAAATTTATAAAAGGGACGCCAGTGTCCCATGTGAGTCAAAGGGTGAAAGCTTTATGTTTCCTCAGTATTTATTCTTATTTACTCAAACAATTCACTTTATAAAATATAAAATATTATTTAAAGGTAATTTGCTTTTTCTCTAAATATTTTTTTCAAGGAATATTTTCCAGTAATTTGTAACTAAGCAATAGTTTTTCAAAGTTATCTTCTTTTTTATTTTTGTTGTAGTGAAAAATGCATATCTATAATAACTAAAGTATTAAACAAAAGTGCAAAAACATACATCGAATCAAAATGAAACATATCTTACTTAAAAGTTAAAAAAAAAAANAAAGGAAAAAAAAAAAACTGCAGTGTCGCGTGTTGAGAGAAATACTCGGTTGACGATTTCGGCTCAATGTACAGTTGATATCTGTGCCGCCTGGATTGATGTTGTGTACTTGACGTATGGATAGCCTTAGTCACTGCAAAGTATTCAACGATAATTCCAGTTTTATACATTTCGCGATATATAGTTATATTTCTTATTCATTTTTTGACTGAACATTGTATTTTGATACAGTCATATATTGTATGATTTTTCAATTAGATACATGCATAACTTTTTTGAGGACAAATACGTGAGATAAAAGTACTAAGTAATATAGAAATTACAAATTATTTTTCTTCAATTCAAGAAGTAAAATTAACATAGTTAAATTTTTGAGCTGAGTATAAAAAAGAAATTTTTAATATAAATCCATCTTATAAATAAAATAAAATAAATCTTAATCGTTTTATATTGTATAATTTGTATTTGTAAGAAAATTTATTTTATAATAATCCTCGTATAAAGAATTGTGTGATTCAATTAAATTTTAAAATGCACTCAGTTTTCTTCATGCCGAACATTGCAAACTGATTTGTATCGATTTTCAATTTTTTTAAACAATGAGTCACTATCACAGTTATATCAAATTTAATTACTTACAAGAGGGCAAAATCAATAACAGTTGACTATTCCATGAGTGAAATAGCAAAAATAAAGTAATTGAATAAAATTGGAAATATTAAAATCGGAAGTGTTAAAATTAAAATGCAATTTTAGTTTTACCTTTCATGTTTCATCAAAATGTCATACTTAATTTACAAAAATTGATTAACTTCAGTTTTAGAAAGCTTCTATTTCTATGAGTTTTCCAATTGTTATCTAAATGAAACGCAAACTTTCGATATTTAATGAAACTCATCTTTTGCATAATTCTACACAAAAACTACCTATCAAACCATTATTTGATTTGCAGATATTAAAAACTCTACTTAAAGAATTTCGGGGAATATTCTGTTACATAATTTCTTTTAATCTAAAATATAAGTTTTGTATTTAGTTATTATCTCTTAATCTATACTTTTATATATATTATTATACACTTATAAGTAATTCATAATTTCATCTGAGTAAAAAACAATAATCCGAAAGTTAATTAATTACAAAAAACTCTAATCGGATTGCTCCGAATTTCATCGGACTTCGGGACTTTACAGGTGTTACCATAGAGTTATACTCCATGGGTGTTACAGTAAAAGTCCGAAGTCTTGTAAATCCTAGGTTTTATCCATAAAATCTAACTTTTACCAAAGTGGTCTGGTACTAGTTCAAATCATACTTTAATATGATTCCATTTCGGCCTCTTAAAAAGCTTTTACGGTAAAACTTAGGAGTTATGTAGGCACTTTGGTTTTACCAGTTTAAACCTAAAATTTACCAGGTTTTTATAGTAAGACATGCTTGACATACGAGATTTTGGATTTAATTTTATACTTAATTAACTCATCCAAGACTAGACTGGAACAAATAATTATGACGATTTCCTTTTTAAATGGTATTTATCTTTTGTGTTCAAACAGTAATTCAATAAATATTTTTATCAATTAAACTTCTTGAATTGAAGAATAAAAATAAATAAAATTCGAAATCATTTTCAAAACAACATCATCTTAAAAGTAGCTTCATACTCGGTAACGAATTAGAAACTTTTTGGAAAAATTAGAATTTATTTTTTTGCAGACGACTTCTTTTATATTAAATTGGTAATGAAACTCAGAGAAGCTTTGATAAAGCTTAAAACGAAATCTAGAGCTTCGTTAGGGTTAGCTATTTATACGTAAGCCATGCAAAGTACAGAAAACCGAGCTAAGCCAAATTAGGTAGCCACATTTAAACAATCAATTCATCATCTCATTCACGACAATCTTAAGTCATTTTTTATTATTATTCAGGGATTTTTAAATTCCCTCTTAGAAAAACTCTTTACACAAAATGAGAAGCTTTTACATTAGGAAAACAAAATAAATTTTTGTGGCTCTTAAGTAAATTTCCTCTAAAGATAAGCCAAAATGTTCGCTTATTGATAAATCTAGCATCAATATTCCTTTTGCGATAACAAAATAGCTTCAACGTTTGTTTAATAGCAAAATGATTGACGTTTTAAAAGCTTATTGATTTCCTGATTGATAATTTGGCGAGTTTCAAATTTTATGCCAATCAGACGTGTGATTGAATAAAAATATTTTGATTGTAGAATATAACTATGATAATATATAGATAAATTTAAAAATTAATTTAGATATATGAATATTTCAATGAAATGTCCAGAAATGAAAATGAGGAAAAAGCGACACATTAAAATTGAGAAATTTCTTACTGTACAGCAAGGATAGAGTGTCTGAGGCAAAAACGAAAGCTACTTCATTTTCGAATGAATTTCATCTCGTTTTTAACATTCAATGCAGAATTTATTCTAGAAAAAGTCTAGAATAGATCAAATTTAAATAAAAATTCTCTATACTGAAAATTTATTTTAACTAAAGTCGAATAATGCTTCTCTTTGTAAACTCAGATGCAATTTTTCTAAACAAATTGATCCGTAAATTATTTTAGCTACTTTCAGCTCTGAATGTATCATAAATCTACTACCAAGTTATTTAAAATGCACCTTTACTCATTAAAGTACGCTAAATTGTATTATTTTTTTAAAGAAATTTATTTTTCATTTAATATATTTACCGTTCAAAAAGAAACGTTTCGTATTAAATAAACTATAAAAGCTTCATTTCTGCAAATGACGAATATAAAATCTCGAATCAGAATCAATAACTAGATAATTATTTAAATTAATACATAAATAAAAATAAGCTTAAATAATAAGAGCATTGCCACAAAGGCAATGAGATTCCATGAAACATAAAGTAAATTTAATGGTGATTGGAATATTCAATATGGGAGAAAGAAAAATCAAATTATGTTTTATAAGAAGAAGAAATAAATGAACAAATAATGGCAAAATATATTTATAAACCACGTTTTCTTAAGTCTATTTAAAAAGAATCGATTTTCTTTTGTGTGTGTTACACAAACTAATATCATTTAGAAGTATTTGAATTATTAGAATTGAAAACTTTTAATAAATTTAGAATTATTTTTTTCTTTTAATAATGGGAAAATTAACTTTTAATAATGTTTAAGCTAATAAATGTAGTACCATAATAATATAAAATAATAGAGTTACAACAATATTCAAAACTAAATATCAAGTTTAAATATGCATTATTAAGCAACACGTTTAAAAGTGCAATAAATATCTAAGTAACTCTAAGGTAAGTTGGTTTTAAATGTAATTTCTGCTAAAAGTTTCTTTAATATCTTGAATTACTAAACACTTCAGTATAATTTTGTATTAAATTAGTTGATTATTGATTATTATATATATTGATATTTAATATTATATATCTATTGATATTTGACATCAGAATTTTTCGCAGCTTTATTTATATTTCTTTAAAAGTGTCTGAGTTATAAAATTAAAATTTCAACTTCAATTTAAATTGAATCATATACTGTTTTGTTCTCAGTTTCATCACAGATATCAATACTTTTTAAAAGAAATACTGACATGACTCAGCTTACTTGCTAACAGAGCTAAGCGAATAAATATTTAATGTTACTTGTTGTTAGAAATGAAATCCTTTCATATTCCATTTAATTAAAAAAAAATTGAGCAGATTTTTTTATAGTTTTTAATTTCTCAGAACTCTTGTTGTATAACTCTTCTGTGAGCATTTTTTGTTTGTGAGATAAGAACAATGTGTAGTTTAGTTCCAAAGCTTTGGCCATTTAATTTGAGTAAAAATGTACCAGTCTCACACACCTTGTATATGCTGAATGTGTGTTTTGTGTATATGTGTTGTTCAATGTTGCTTTGGCTTGATAAAAATGGTAACATATTGCGCCAAAATCTCGAAAGTGCAACGAAGCTGTTAAGTTTTGCCTTACTGGAGAGAATTTAATAAAGCGAATGAAGGCATTCTGATATCAAAAGAGAACAATTAAATGGTATCGTGCTAAATAAGGAAGTGCTCAAATGAAATTCGCCGCATACTGCTCGCATATGCAGATATGTAACCGAGGTGTGAAATTTGTATTGTTGTTATGTGAATGTTTCAGGTATACAACCCTAGTTATTTGGAAGTAGACTAAGGTCCCTCCTTTTTTATTTTAAACAAAATTTTTAAAAAAATAACTAAATAATTAAAAGAGATTTTGACTGGTTTTCAACAGGACACGCAGAATTTATCGTCCAAAATTGTCTTAAAATGTCAAAAAGTTTCCCATACCGTTTAAAAGTGTATTTAAATGTCTAAAATTCAAAAAATAGCTATAAGACTTATAACTTCAAAATATCATTATGCC